GACAGACTGGATTTTGATCCTCGGAGCCCTGGATCTACCGCTCAGCTTTCCCACCCAAGTGTCTCACCACCAACTTGTCCAACCTACTGCCTCAGTTTTCCCATCTGCTATGGGACCCTCCACCATGAGAGACTTTCGGACCCCACTTCTGCCAACTTCCAGTTCCCACATAGTTCACTGGGAACCAAGCTCCCATGTTCAACATCTCACTTCCCCCCTCCACCCCCGTCCTCTACAACCTCCTCTCCTCACTGCCTCCCCTACGGTATCAGCTCCGAGTCTGTGTTTGTGAGCTCACAGGAACCGCGGGACACGGGCCTTTCTCTCTGCCGTAATGAAACCCTTTAATCATATTCAAATAGGTTACTGTTCAGGGGGAAAATAGAAATATGGATTTGATAGCAATAAATTTCCCTGGCTGGCTAAGCCCAGTTCTTAATTGTCCTGTCCCAGGGCTCGCACATTTCATTGTTCGTTAGGTGCTTAAGTCCCCACTCTCATTTTGTGGCGGTGACATTACCGTTGATGGCTCTAATACTCTCATAATTTGAAAGGGGATTTGCATGATAGAACGCAGAGTATTAAAAGAAAAAGAAAAAAGGGAAAGAGAAAAATGGGGAGGGGGACAAGATGGAAGGAGGAGCACGAAGGGAAGGGGGGCAGCCGGAGGGGGAGGGGGAGGGGCCGAGGAAGAACTCAATCCAGCTTTTACTTTAAAAAAAAAAAAGTCACTTTCTTCAAAGTCAAATCAAAAAAAGAAGAAGAAAGAAAAAAGCCGAAGCCGCACATCGGGCTGAGTGGGCACTGGTCTTATTGTTCCTAATGGTTATTAATTATTATTACCCGCCATGCAGGGCTGTGCAGACGTGATGTCCCCAATGTCCTTGGAGTGGTGTAGGGGGCACAGGGGAGGGCGGACTGTGGGTGGGGAGATCCAGTCTGGGCCACAGGAGTATTCAGATATGCATTCCGGGCAGAGGCCAGCAGAATCTAGGTTTGGGGGATAGGGGCAGGGTGGAGTTGAGGGTGGGGTCGTGGCATGCTTCTCTCAGGGGCTTCCTGTTCCAGTGCCCATGGGTACAGACATTTTGGGTCACCTTAGGGCTTTTCACACCATTTTAAGAACTGTCATCCTCACCTGTAGTCTGCCCCAGTCAGACCTCAAAGGCCTACAGCGTTTGAGTGAAAAGGGCCCTGCCTGGCTTAAGAGTGGGCCATATATGGAGCCGGCGCAGGAAGAGGGGCAGGCATGGAGCAGTCGTGTGTCTCCATCTATCTCACACCTGTGGACCCATGCCACTTCCTAGTCTGGCGAGCTAGCACTTCCTGGCCAAGCCCCACCCCTCTACCTCCTGGAAAGTGTCTCTTTAACTGCACTCCTCCATGTTGATGTAGTGGGGCACCATGCATGACGCAGATGGGCACCCACTGAGCGACATCTCAGGCCCTTATCTCTGTGAATTCTTGTGGGTCAGGTATGTGGTCAACTGTTGGTGTGCCCCGCCATTGTTATTCACCAAATGCCTTTGAAACAGAGTCCCTCACTGAACTTAGGGCTCACCAGTTGGCTAGAATGTCTGACCAGCAAGTCTGAGGAATTCTCCTGTCTCCACTCCTGCAGTGATGGGGTTACAGGCATGCACCACCAGCTTGTGTGCATATTCTAGGATCCAAATTCAAACCCTCACCCCAAACCCTTTACCGACTGAGTCATCTTCCCAGCCACCTCCACCCCCATATAATTTTTTATTTTGAAGCTAAATCGCCCAGTGTTGGTGTTGACTTCACTCTGTGGCAAGTAGACCTGACACTGTCTTCCTGCCTCAGCTTCTAGAGTAACTAGACCTACAGGCCTGAGTCACAGCCATGGCCAAAGGCTGAGCAGTGGCGGGACAAAGCAGAAGGAAGGAGGATGAGGGGAGGGGACACATAAACTCTTGAATAGCGGGGATTACAGGCCTTACATCACAGGCTGAGTTTGCACTAGAATTTGAAATCAAATAAATTTGGGGTCTGGAACAAAAGCTGTCTTCAGGGAGTCTAGTGACTATGGACTTCCTCATTCTATTGTTGAGGTGCAGCATGACGGGAAGTCATAGCCCCTGGTAGTCCTTACACCCTCCTCGGGTTCTCGGGCTCATGCACCTCTCAACCTTCAAAGTCAGACTTGTTCTTGTGTGTTACACCTCTGCTGCCTATCCCTACAAATCCTTCTCCCAGTATGCCCAGGACTACCACCCAAACTGGAGAGAGAACCCAGGCTCCTAAATGGTGGGTCTGGTAGAGCTGGTGTCTCCAGAGACAGTGGCCTTGGGTCAGCCTCGTGTGACTGCAGAAATCTAGACTGTTCTTTCATTAGAGGGGGCTGAAGTCGCAGTAGAAAAAAAAAAGCAAGAGGAGAAATCTAGGCCACCACAGAATGAAGGAGCCAGTGGTAGCTGGGAACCCTTGACTTTCACACATTCCTTAATAAAGCTTTTCCTGTAAGGACAAGCGAAGAACAGATGAGTGTTAGGTCTGCCCCTTCCCCAACACACACAGGAGTGATGGAAGACCCCGACCCAGCCTCAAGGCCCTCTAGCCTCATTCCAAATTCATAAGACTTCAGCATGCGCAGTCTTCCAGGGGGTGCCCCCCCACCTCCAAGCCCCTCGAAGAGAAGCTGTCTCCAGGAAAGCAAAGAGACCAGGTATTCTGAAATACTTTCCTTCTCTGTAGTCACTCAGGTAGGAGGGGATGAGGGGATGAAGGAGGCTGGCAGGGGGGACCAAGGGGGTTTAATAGGCTCCGATGACAGCCCAGTGTCCACATTGGGGAAAGATTAATGATGAAAATTAATCGCCTGACCTTTCTTTCCAGGAGCTGGAGGTGAGGCGAGCCATTAAAGCCTCTTATGTTGTAATTAACGTTGGAGGGGAGAGGAGAGCCGCCTTCAGAATGGATGTGATCATTTAATTAGGCTGAGGCGTGGGCGCCACAACAGGTCCAGAGAAGTCATAATTTAACTATAGCTTTAAATTACATGGACAGAGTGTGGATGGCAGAGTTGGATGGCAGGAGAGCCTGCCCTGTAGCTTGCAGAAAAACAATTCAATAAACACCCCAAGTGAGCAAGAAGATCGGTGACAGAGATGGACAGACGGTCAGACAAAGAGCCCGATAGGGCTGGCAGGGAGAGAGACGGGGAGGTGGGAAGGATACAGGAAAGACCCAGCAATCAGGATGAACCTGAGCGAGAGCCAGACACACACATCCACACACACACACACACACACACACACACGCACACACATGTACACACACGCACGCACACACACGCACACATACATACCCCAGAACTGGTAGCACATGTGCTCCGGGGCGAGTGGCTCTGAGCACCCCCACCCTAAGTCTGCATTCCTCAAACACACCCCATTTCGGCTGAGAAGGTTGGAGGCAGGTATGTCATTCTCCTAAATGTCTCAGGACACTGCTCTACCCCCACCATCTGCTCACCTTGACTAGGAGGAGAGGAGACATTCTCTGTGCCAAGCCTGGAGAACCTGGGAGCTCCCCCATGCCGTGTATCTCTACATCCTGGGCTAATAGGATGCCAGGCCTGGCTGGGCAAGAGAGGAGGTGGGTCTGTCCAGCACAGACGTTCGAGGCCTGTGTCTGGCGCACACAGAGGGAGCGGTTATCCACCATCTCCCGGGGACCACAGCCCACTTGTTGCTCAACCGAGACGATTAGCCACTCTGTGAGACCAAGAGACCACTGAGGAATGATGAACAGAGTTCTGCTGCCCAGGGCTTGGAGGAAAGAGGCTTGGGGGGAGACAGAAGAGAGGAGTAACATCGGGAAACTGGCCGCCAAAGGACTGAGATAAGGAGTCCATCTGAAGCCTGTGGGCCTTGAGCAGTGCTTCTGCAGATGCTGCTGGCTCTGCACAGCAAGAGGAATGAGTGAGTCCAACGCAGATCCCAGGGAAGTCCAGAAGGGAGCCTCTAGATACCTGGATGGCTGCTCTGTCAGCAACCATGATCATTCTTGCAGCTTGCTGAGCCCCAGGAGGCAGCAAGACTTGTCACATCTCTCCCTTTCTACCCCACGCGGATATCTATCAGGCTGGGCAGGAAGATGGAGAATCTGGGAAAAAGGGTTGTAACTATTGGACTCTCTGGGTCCTTCTGGGGCCAGGTAGAACCCAGGCTGCTAACACTTCAAGCCTAGGGCAGTGGACAGCATCTCCTGCACTCCACATTTGGGCTGGGAATAGAGAGTTACTGATCTAGAGGAGGACAACACACACAGACGCTCACACACAGACATATAAACAGACACACACACACAGATGCACACAGACAGACATATCCACAGACACACACAGATGAACACAGACACACACAGAGAGACACACACAGATGCACACACACAGACATGCACAGAGACACACAGACACACACACACACAGATGCACACAGACAGACATATCCACAGACACACACAGATGAACACAGACACACACAGAGAGACACACACAGATGCACACACACAGACACGCACAGAGACACACAGACACACACACACGACATACTTCCCATTCATTCACTAACCCCAGGACTAATCAAGTTATGAGAGTTTGCCTACTTTGGTCTGATATAGTGGTGCACGCCTTTAATCCCAGTACTGAGGAGGCAGAGGCAGGAGGATTTACAGAGTGAGTTCCAAGCCAGACTGGTCTACACACATCAAATTCTAGCCAGACCCCATTGAAAGCCTGTCTCGAATAAAGTGGGGGAGGGGAGTAAAAAAAGAAAAACAACCCAGAGAGTGAGAAAGTGCTTTCTGCTTACTGCCCCTCCTCCATAGGAAATCAAAAGCCACCAAATGGTCCCAGGAAGGATACTTTGCAATTCCAGAGTAGGGCAGAGTTGTTCAATTTTAATTATACATCCACAAATTCTCCAAATTAGTGAGCTTTGTCTCGATTGGAGTTTTGTCCTTCCCGTGCTGGGTGGTGATGATTGATTGACTGACCGTCTAATGGGCTTCATTGGTCTCTCTTGCAACTCAAAATCTGTCCAAAGAATGTCCATCCTGTGGAGAGAATAGAGGAGGGGTCTTTGCTGCAGTGACAGAAGAGAGATAATGCGGGAGCAGAGAGAGATACAGGGGTGCCAGATGGGGGGCAGGGCTCCATGCCTCACACCAGAGCTGGCCCATAAATCCTAGGGTCAGCTCTTCATTGTGCCCTGGACTGCCTTGGCTATGTGACTGCCCTAAGGGCACAAATGCCCAGATCCAGAAGTCCTGAGGCCCTGACCTAAGTCAGGGGGAGCAAGGCCTGCTTAGCCCCTGGAGTGCCAGCCGGGGAGTGAGAGAGGAGAATGGGAGCCACAGTGGGTAAAAGGCAAGAGGCAGGAAACGGGAGGGGACCCTTGCCAGGCAGACCAGGTCTAGAGCTGCCTCATAGCTCCCTGGCTGAGAACACACCCCGCTTCCACCAGGGCTGTCCATACCTGAAAGAGAATCCCACGACATAGGTCCCACCATTTCAGGGGCTCCTGTCTCCCTCAGCGAAGACGTGAACGGCAGGCCTTGTCTAGGAGAGGTGTCTCCCCAGCCCTTCCTGTTTTGTGTGAATGGAGTCTGTGCTGTTAAGAGCCCCCAGGTTCCAGCATCCTCTCATCTACCGCCCTCCTACCCCCAACCAGAATCCACACTCCAGAGAACCCCACCCCACCCCCAAGGAGGTCAGACTGGCCTGTTACCACTGGAACTTGGACCACAATGGCCAGTCACTGAGCAGACAAGGGAGCGACTGCTGGGCTTACAATGGCTGTGCCCTCCAACAGTGCTGGAACCCACAGAAGACCACTTTCAGGGCCCCCAAGAATCTGGCCTTAGTTCTTCCCACTGTCTGTGGGGTTCTCAGGTCTATACAGATAGGAACTGGGCATTTCCCTAGGCCTCACTGACAGGTCACAAATCACCACGTGGCCAGAAAACAACAAAAACCTAACCATAGGCATTCCTGACCCAAATGGCCAGGATGGCAGGCTCAGCCCAGAGTGCTGGGGTTCCCTTGGCCAGCAAAGGCCCAATCTCATTTTAGTTGAAACTCTACCAAGGAATTTCCTAAACTGGGGGAAAGCGTTTTCCAGAAAAGAGGAGGGGTCAGAGAGTGGCAGAAGGGGACCTCTGACCCTGCCTGGAGGAATGTGACAAGGAAGAATCTGGGCCTGGGACAGGGAGAACAGGGTTGGCCTCTCCCTGTGAACAGCCCCTGTGGGCCTTGGCCTGTTTGTTTTTCTGTCTGACTGTTTGCTGGCTGGGGGTGGGAGAGATAAGGATGTGAAAACAGCCTTAAAATAACCCACAGTTCCTTAGGCAATGGCAGAGTGGACCCTGAGTCTCACTTTGGGGCTTGTCTGTTGCTGCAGAAGGGAGTAGGATTATGAGGCTGTGGGCTGTCTGCGTGGCCCTCCGCCTGGCTGCAAGGCTGGCCTGTCACACACCCCAGCTCATTCCCTTGTGTGTTCTCCTGAGCAGGCTCTGAATTCTGTCTTCTCAGACACAAGCGAGGATAAATAATCCTGTGGCTAGAGTTAAGATTTGGGGCCCGGAGGAAGGCTCAGAACTGTGTAAATCTCCCCACTCCCTAGCTGTTAGACTCCCCAATTGACTTGTGGGCGCCTCCTCCTTCTTCCCAGCCCAGTCTTATCTGCTGAAAGGTTTCATTTCGAACTCAAGCCCCTCAGCCTGCTGGGGCTCCTTGCCTGCTATAGGAACTGGCATGTGCAGTCATGTGGTCCCCAAGGGTCACTTTCTCCGTCCTACAGGTCCCAGCACCTCTTTCAAAGTCTCTCTTTGCTCATTCAGGGCCAGACTATGGAAATAGGTAAAAACCAATCTAAAATTACCCCAGCACTAGACTTGGGAATCTGTGCCTCTTTCTACCTCTCCAGAGAGGAACGTTTGTGTTGAGCCAACAGCCTCCCAGCTCATTGCCCTGGATTTGAGCTTGCTCTGCTCCAGGCTCCCAGCACAGCTCTGGGAACTGGTCCCTGAGCAAAGCCTTCTCCATATGCAACAGGACAAACCAGTTCCTTAGCCTCGGCCCTGAGGTGTCAGTCCTCCAAGGATTATTGAATTTCTTTTTTTTTTCCTTTTTTTAGGTTCATTTCGTGTGTATGGATATTGTGATAGTTTGAATGTAATTGGGAGTGGCACTATTAGGAGGTGTGGCATGCTGGAGTGGGTGTGGTCTTGTTGGAGGAAGTGTGTCACTAAGCGGGCAGACTTTGAGGTCTCACATGTGCTCAAGACACTGCCCCTTAACACAGTCCACTTCCTGTTGCCGTCTGACAAAGATGGCCAGCATCACGTCTGCCCGAATGCTGCCAATGCTCCCTGCCACAGTGACAATAGACTGAACCTCAAAACTGTAAGCCGCCACAACAAAATGCTTTCTTTCCTTTCACTATGAGTCCATGGTGTCTCTTCAGAGCAACAGAAACCCTAACTAAGACAGTTATTTTGCCTGTATGTGTGTATATCTGTGACATGCATGCCTGGGGCCTACATAGACCAGAAGAAGGCTTTGGATCTCCTGGAACTGAAGCTATGAATGTCTGTGAGTTACCATCTACGTGCCATGGACCGAATCCGAGTCCTCTGCAAGACAAACAAAGCGCTCCTCACACGGAGGCCCCACAGTCCCGAATACATGAACTTTGAGAGGGGTTTGGGGGCTACACATTTAGTCATCAGGTGGAATTGGAAGGGGCACCTTTGAAAGAGTGACTTTTTTCCTGTTTTGTTTTGCTTTTTAAATTCAAAAATATTTTTAAATTTTTAATATTTTATCTCTCTGTGTGTGTGTGTGTGTGTGTGTGTGTGTGTGTGTGTGTGTGCTATCTCTCGCCGTGGAAGTCAGAAGACACCCTTTGGGAATCGGTTCTCACCTTCTACCATGTGGACCTGACTGAACTTGGGTTCAGCTCTGTCTGCTGAGCCGTCATCTCACTCACCCTCCAACCAGACTTCAAACATTTCTCAAATGTGGACAGCATTTGCCATCCCCAACAGTGTGAACATCAAGATGAGAGGGCACACTGCAGGCGTCGGCTGTGTGGGCGACCGTTTTCTGCCACTGTAAACACAGTGAGTCTCCCTTTCTCCAAGAATGGGGAAGGACACTGGGGAAGAGGACGTTCACTGCCATGAGTTCTGGCGCATTGCGGGGAAACTTAGATGGTCGTCTTCCGGCCAAGCGTCTGCCGGTTCATATTGCTGGCACATTCACTGTGACTGTGGGAGGTGCAGCTTCCTGTAAGGTTGACGTGACTGAAACGAGAAATAAAGCATATGCAGATTTCTGCAGAAATTATGATTCCATGTAAGATTTCTAAGACACGAGGAAGCTGGTACCATTCAGAGCACATGATTTCAGAACGTAAAGAATTCTTGGGATTGCACTCCACAGATGTTCACTGCTGACCTGTGTTCCTGAACTATGAAACATGCGTGTGTGTGCTGAGGAGCGGTTCCTCCCAAGAAACAGTTAGCAATTATATGGACCAAAAAATATGAGATAAAGTCAGGGCTGTCACCGCTTTCCAGCCCGTGACCCCACGAGTAGGTTATGTTCTTACATTTTCCTTTAGAGTCACATCACACAGGCTAGCCTCAAACTCCTTAGGTATCTGAAGCTGCCCTTGAATTTCTGAGCATCCTCCTGCCTTCCAGGAGCTGAGACTACAGGTGTGAGCCACCACGCCTGGCAGTGGTCCTCTAGTGACCGCCTGGCCCTTTCCGTCTCCCTCCACTCCATCTTCTAGCTTAGGGCTGAAACTAAGCCTGGAAGTTGATGTTTCCACAGCGTCACTGGTATGGACTGACTCATTTTCACTCCCTCTTTCACTGGGTAGGTGTTCCCAAGCACTGACTCTGTGTTCAACACAAGATTCTTAACCCTCAGACAGAGGAAGGACATGCAATGCCTGTGTAAAATTAACCCTGTAGGGCCCCTGAGTTTAGTGTTCTACATTGGGAAGAGGAGTAGGGTTGCAGCTCGGCAGAGGGAGCTCACACTGGGGCCTCCTGAGGCCCAAGCAGAGGTAGCTTTATTTACTTTTATTGTCTTAATTACATATATTTGTTTGTTTGGTTTGGTTGGTTGGTTGATTATTGAGATAGGGAGAGGGAGAGAGAAAGGTGTGTGTGTGTGTGTGTGTGTGTGTGTGTGTGTGTGTGGTGTTTCTACCAGAGCACACTTATAGACGTCAGTGCACAACGTTTGAGAGCTGATTCTCTCTTCCATGTGAATCCTGGAGATCCAGTTCAGGTCCTCGGGCTTGGTGACATGTGCCTTTACCTGCCGAACCACCTCACCAGCCAAGGCTTTCTTCTTCTGTCACTGCGAAGCTTGTCTGGTCCTCCTCCTTCCCCAACTTGGGTGGCAGAAGTTTGGCTGGTGTGGACCAAGTTTGTTCTGGTGTGGCAGAACACCTTCGGCATTTAGTAAGAAGAAGAATGGCAGGGACTCCTGCACCTGAAGTTAGACAAGCGGCGTGAGAGGGAACACTGGGCTTTGTGAACTGTCAGTCAGGTGGACTGGTTTGACTGGAATTGACTGGTTTACTGCAATGTGGCTGGAGAGGGAGTGGGACAGCGCCAGGCATAGGGATGCCCTGGGGGCTGCATTAGTCAGCTCTTCAGCCAGCCCTGCTGTCAGTCACTCGAGACTCCGCCTTATAACAGACCTCTGCTTCCTCACTTCCGGTCCCGTACCATCTGTGAGGGGACAGAGACACAGCTACACACTGTCATCCTCAGTGACCCAAAAGAGTCCCTTAACCTATTAGGGACTTCAACTTGGGCAAACACAGGCCCGTGGCTTTATCACGGGATTAGCCAACATAAAGCAGGGTTGGAGAATTTATGTAACATAGAAAGGGACTGTAGAGACAACTTGTTGGTTAAGGCTCCCAAGTGTAGTCAGACTTTCTAGTCAGTCACCAACCCCCAAATAATGTCATAGAGACTTGTTAATTAGGAAAGCTTGGTCTTTAGCTCAGGCTTGTTCCCAACTAGCTGTTATAACTTAAATAACCTGGTTCTATTCATCTACATTCTACCATGGCTTCTACCTCTCCTGCTCTGTACATCTGACTTGCTCCACATCTCGCTGGTGTCTTCCACCTCTCTTCTTCCCAGAGTTCTTCTCTCTCTCCGGAAGTCCCACCTATCCTCTCCTTCCTAGCTATTGGCCATTCAGTTCTTTATTAAACCAATCCGAAGGCAATTTAGGCAAAGTCATATCTTTACCGTGAACAAAAAGAAAATCCCACAACACACAACTTTCTGTAACTCCAGTTCCAGGGGGATCTAACGCCCCTTTCTGGCCTCTGCAAGAACTACACATCACATGTGCGGCACATACACACGCATGCAGGGAAAACACTCATAGCACACAAAATATAATTAATGAATAAATTCATAAAAGACATAACAGAAAAGCACTCAGGGAGGAAAACTAAAGTACACCCCAACAGTATGCGTGTGGGTTTCTCAGAGAAGACCACCCCTTCCCTCCACCCCTCTACCCCTAGACAAATTTGGTTTTTTATATTTTGTTTGTTTTGTTTTTCATGACAGGGTTTCTCTGTGTAACATTCTTAGTTGTCCTGGAACTTACCTGTAGACCAGGCTGGCCTTGAACTCACAGAGATCCGTCTGACTCTACCTCCCAAGTGCTGGGATTAAAGAAGGTGTTCATCTGTGCATCACCAGGCAAAAATAAATAAATAAATAAATAAATAAATCCTCTTCTGAGCATAGATTAAATCTCCTTGTCTCTACCCTTGCATTAGTCAGATGGTGTGAAACGGACACTTCTCCTCAGGTGCTTCTCTTTGCAGCTGTCTTTTTTCTCTCAGTGAAGTATCTTGGTGATTCACCCAGCAGGGAAGAAATGGAGACAGTCACGTAGTGGCTTGCACTCGCAATGGCCGGTTTATCTTTACTGGACCGGGGTTTCCACTGTGTGTGTCTGCCACAGCAGCTGAGTTTCCTCTGTGTGTGTCTGCCACAGCAGAGTCCTTTTTCTTCTTATTCTCCTTCTCCCTCCCCTCTCCTTTTTTGAGACAGGGTCTCATTCTATACCCTCGCTCCTCACGTCCCAGCTCAGCCTGGTCATGTCCACTCAGGACTCTCCCAGATGGCCCTGCCTCTGGCTGTGCTCCCCTTTTTTCTGTAGTAACTTTCCCCGCCACACCCAGGAGCAGTCGTAGAAGTCTCCACGGCTTCCCTGCTGGGTGAATCACCAAGTTTCTTCACTGAGGGAATTAACACAGCTGCAAAGAGAAGCACCTGAGGAGAAGTGTCCGGTCTGTCTCACACCATCTGACTTTTGTAAAAATAGAGACAAGGAGATTTAATCTATGATCAGTCCCTTTTTATTCCTTTTTTTTCATTCAACCTACATTCACACACACAAAATTAAAGCTTATATAATTTTAATAAATTTTTAATTTTTTTCTTTAATGATTTTTTGTTGGTTTTTGGTTTAGGGGGATTGTTTTATTTTGCTTTTGTTTTTTGGGAGGGTTTTGTTTTGTTTTGTTTGTAGTGCTGGAGATTAAACCTAGATCCTTACATCTGAACTGAGCAGGTCCTCTTATCTGAACCTAGTAGGTCCTCACATCTGAACCTAGTAGGTCCTCACATCTGAACCTAGTAGGTCCTCACATCTGAACCTAGTAGGTCCTCACATATAAACCAGTAGGTCCTCACATCTGAACCTAGTAGGTCCTCGAATCTGAACCTAGTAGATCCTCACATATGAAGCTAGAAGGCCCTCACATCTGAACCTACTAGGTCCTCACATATGAAGCTAGCAGGTCCTCGCATCTGAACCTAGTAGGTCCTCACATCTGAACCTCGTAGGTCCTCACATCTGAACCTAGTAGATCCTCACATATGAACCTAGTAGGTCCTCACATCTGAACCTCGTAGGTCCTCACATCTGAACCTAGTAGGTCCTCACATATGAACCTAGTAGGTCCTCACATCTGAACCTCGTAGGTCCTCACATCTGAACCTAGTAGGTCCTCACATATGAACCTAGTAGGTCTTCACATATGAACCTCGTAGGTCCTCACATCTGAACCTAGCAGGTCCTCCTCACTCATGCTAGTCAAGCACTTTACCACTGAGCAGTATCCAGCCATGTCTTGTTTGCTTTTGTTTTAAGACGGGCTCTCATGTTCTGCCTCTCCTCCAGAGTGCCAGGATTACAGTGTGCATTCCACTGCCTGTTGTATGTGATCCTAGGAAGTATCAATCCCAGAGCTCTGACACTAGACCATCGCACAGCAGACAGAGCCGCATCCACAGCCTTCATCCGAGACTCTGAGTAGAGACGTGCCCTCTTTCCCTAGGGGGTAGATGCCAGCAGTGAAAATTGCTAGTCACATGTTAGATGTGGCCGTCCATGGGTGAGAAGCTTCGGCTGCATTTTCAAAAGGGTTTTACTGCCTTAAGAGTCATCTGCAGCAGAGATCCTGCAGCTCCTGCTCCCGCCAGTGCTCGCTGGGGTTGCTCTCTTGTAGGTGAGTGGCTCCAGTGAGACTATGAGGTGGCAATTGTCCAAGTCAGTGTGCTGCACCAGGGCTTTCTCTCTCTCTCTCTCTCTCTCTCTCTCTCTCTCTCTCTCTCCCCCCCTNCACACACACACACACACACACACACACACACACACACTCCCCCACCCAGGTCAGGTATCCCAGACTGGCCTCAAGCTTACTGAGTAGTACAGATGACCCCGAACTTCTGACTCTCCTGCCTCCACCTCTGTGCTGGGATTGCAACGTAAACCCCACACCCAGTTTATGCAGCACTGGGGCTCCACCGCAGGACAGCATGCAAGTCCTCTCCAGTCCAGTTCTCTTCTGTCCGGCAGCCTCCCTGTTTCAAGGTGCCTCTCCTGGGGCCGCTGCTCCCAGTTCCCCTTGTCAGTGGCTCACTTGCCAGTAGGAGGCTCTGGCAGGAGAGTGGAGGGCAGGAGTAAGAAAAAAGCCAGGCCACCTCTAACCCTTCCAGCCACAGTTCCTGCACACAGACGTCCTCAGCAACTAAATGTCATCCCTGAGTTGCCACTGCCATCCATGCCCTTGTAACCACCATCAGGATTCTGAATTTGCTGCTTCTTATACTTGGGGACACACACACACACACATACACCATGCCTACTTGAATCCTCAGACTTTGATCAGTTGCCACTTTCTCAATGATGCCCCCACCCCCGCCTGGACCCGATTTGAAATTAGCCACCAGGCACTAGGTGATTCTTTTTCCTGTTCTAGTTTCCTCCTGTAGCAATTACCATGTTCCTTCATAGTTTTCATTGTCTGTTCATCCGTTTGTTTGTTTTTGAGTCCGGGTTTCTCTGTGTAGCCCCGTCTGTCTGGGAACTTGCTCTATATACCAGGCTGGCCTCAAACTCAGAGATCCAATGTCTCTGCCTCCTGAGTGCTGGGATTAAAGGCGAATGCCAACACTGCCCAGCATGTTTTCAGTTTTTAGAGTGAGGTCTCATGTAGCTCAGGTTGACCCTCAACTTGCCAGGCAGCCCAGGGTGACTTTGAACTCCTGACTCAGCTGCCTCCACCTTCTCAGTGCTGGGATCCAATGCCAGACACATACCACCAGGGCTCTGCTGTCTGTTTTGTATTGCTGCATCTTCACTGACCAGTGGCCAGTACAGAGAAGAGAAAATAAGGTGAGTGACTCTATAGGCCATGTCTAAGAGGAGAAAGCCCCAGGTACCCCAGGAGGAGCACCGGAGTTAGGATTCTGCAAACCTTGTCAGTCCTAACTGATAACTGGGAGAAATCCTTCATCCTGAACTCAAACATCCCTCTTCTCAAAGCCATATCCCTGGAAGAGGTGAGACACTCACATGCTCAGGACCTCCCATGTTGAGTGAGGCACCCTGACCCCTATTCGGAGGCCCCAAAGCTGCTCCTGAATTCAGCTGTCAAAGTACACATTTGGACACAAAAGCCCTTCTAGATTAAAGTAGGTCTTTCATCGGGAGTGGGTGGGATCAGAGGTCAAGATGGTGCTAGCCCGTATTTTAAAAAATGAATCTTGACCCCTACCTCACAGCGTACACAAACATAGACTCCAGATGGATTGGAGTTTCAAGCGGGACAATGAAGCAGTTGCACTTTTAAGATGAAACAGAGAATATCTGTGAGGCTTTTGGTCTGGCAACCGTCTTCTGTGTTCTGTTTTTAAAGAAAACACAAAAGAATTACAGGACAGAGCTGCTAAGTTGGCCAACGCGACAATTAAAATTTCTCTTCATCAAAAGATACATAGGGGGGGGGAGACAGACCAGAAGATGGAAATGGTATTAGTAACTATAAACCCAATGAGGACTCGAACCCAGGAGACAGGTGACACAGAGATAGACAGATCCTATCTGTCAATGGGTGTGGTGGTGCAAGTCTTTAGTCCCAGCATGTGGGAGGCAGACCTCTGTGAGTTCAAGGCCAGCCTGGTCTACACAGTGAGTTCCAGAAAAATAAAAAGAGAGAAAGGAAGGAAGGAAGGAAGGAAGGAAGGAAGGAAGGAAGGAAGGAAGGAAGGAAGGAAAGAAAGAAAGAGAGAAAGAAAGAAATAGAAAATAGTGGACAAAATACTTGAATGAGCTGGAATGTGGCTCATCAAGAAGTCCAGTGCTTTACTGATGTGTTAGTCAAGGTCCCGTAACAGGACAGAATGAATGCATATGTTAAAGAGGATTGACTAGGTTGGCTTGCAGGATGTAGTTCAGACAGTCCAATAGTGACTGTCTAACACTGAAGAAGCAAGAATCCAGTGGTCAAGTGCCCAGCCCACAAGACTGGATGTCTCTGAGGTCCCAATCTAGCACCAAAGCTCTGGAGGATCCTGGAGAGCTGCTGGTCTTCAGGCTATGTTGGAATCCTAAAGAAGTAGGGATGCTGCAGCCACAGAATGGGTGGACTTGCCAGCAAGAGAAAGGGCAAGCAGGCTAAAAGCAAAGCTTCCTTCCTTCCTCCACATCTTTTTATATAAGTGCCACCAGAATGTGACAGACAACCCATGTTTAAGGGTGTTTCTGCTTCAAATAATCTGACCAACAAAATCTTCGAGGCAGGGGAGAGGGACTCAGAGGTTAAGAGGACTTTTTGCTTTTACAGAGGACCCCAGTTCATAACCTTCTTCTGATCTCTGTAGGCCCCAGACACATAAGTGACACACACACATACATACATAGAAAACATACATTTATTCTCATACACATGGGAATAAAATAATCTAAAAAAGGTTAAAGATCATAATAAAGCCATCATTTTTGCACAATTAAAATGCATTCATTGAGACAGAAAGTTTCAATTTCAATGTTATTGGTTATTGGGAGAAATGTAAAAATCAAAGCCATGTTGCAAAACTACCACACAGAGCCAAGAAGCTGATGATGGTGTGAAGCCCTGCTGCCCTCTAAGGGAGTATGCATGGGCTCCACAGTTAGTATGACTCGCTTAGCATTAGCACTAAAACTGAGCAGATGCATAACCTATGACCCAGAAACTCTACAGATTGGCAAATGTTCATGCCATGTCATATATAATAGCAAAAATCTGTAAAAAAGTCAATGGCAGATGCAATGATCAATGAAGTTTGTTGTACAATGAGATACCAAACAGGAAAAAGAGTTACAATTGACCCGGAAAGAGACACCTCAGCTCCTAAAGATGATCATCAATTAAATCTGATGACCAGAATCAATCTCCAGAAGCCAGGCAAAAAGCCAGATGTGATGGTGCACATCTGTAATCCTAGGACTCCTGTGGCAAGATGGGAGGTGGACAGTAGAATTACCCTGAAGCCTGGAGGACACAGCATGGTGGCAGAGAGACCCTGTCTCAGTAAGGTGAAAAGACAGACCCAACTTCTGACTTACACACACACACACACACACAATGGCTGGTGCACTTGTGTACACACACCACACACACACACTCGTGTGCACACACACAGTTAATCAATACTTAAAGAAGCACTACTTCTTTGTGTAATAATATCAAAGAACTTCCAAAATATGGTCAACTGTATATGTATGGGGAGTTCAAAAGCAGACAAGACAAACTGGCAATGTTAGAAGCTAGTATTGTCAAGGGTTCCCTTGCTGGGGCAGCAGATAATGACCAAAGCAACATGCAACGTTCCAAGATGCTACTCAAGATTCTTTTGCTTGAGCCAAGAGTTATGGAGCAAACCTACAATCACAACGCTCAGAAGGTAGAAAGAGAAGAGTCAGGAGTTCAATGCCAGCCTTGGCTACAAGAGAGTTTGAGACCAACCGGGCCACATGAGACCCTGTCTCAAACAAACAAAACAAAGCAACAACCAAAACACAAAGTCCAAGAGTTCTTCATCAGAACATTGTTTACATAGGTGCACTCAGTGAGAGTCAACTAGTCACAAAGAACACCGAGAGTTATGCATGTGCGTGCATGCGTCACCTAGTCACAATGTACACGGAGAGTTATTCATGTGTGTGCACGGGCCACCTAGTCACAGTGTACACCGAGAGTTATGCATGTGTGTGTATGAGTCGCCTAGTCACAATGAACACCGAGAGTTATTCATGTGTGTGCAGGGTATGTTAAGCAGACTGTATCTTACAGGCTTAAAACAAGAGTATTTAAGAATTCAAGGCTGGGGCTGGAGAGATGGCTCAATGTTGAGAAAACCGGCTACAGGTCAGGAGTTATGGCTCTTGTCTTTAATCCCAGCATTGCAGAAGAAGCAGGTGTCTGTGAGTTTGAGGACAGCGAAGTCTACACAGTGTGTTCCAGGCTATCCAAGGATCCATGCGGAGACCTTGTTTTGTTTTGTTTTTTAAAAAAAAAAGTTGCAAGAGCACTGGCTGCTCTTGCAAAGGACCTAGGCTCAGTTCCCAGCACCCACATAGTTGCTCACAACTGTCTCTTATTCCAGGTCTAGAATATCCAAAGCCCTCTCCTGACCCTCACAGGCACTGAGTATGAGTGTGATGCATAAACTACATACAGGTAAGACACTGTGTTAAACTGTTAAAGTTCAAGAAGATATAGGAAGAAAGAAAAAGAGAAGTTATGCTTGGATAGTGTGACGGCCATTCTTGGTTGTCAACTTGGCTATTTAAGAGATTCTGACTCAAAAAAAATATATATATATACCCACAAAAACCACAAAGCAAAAGCCTCCAAAGTTGTTGTTATTATTTAGATTTATTTATTTTTATTTTATGTGCATTAGTTCTTGCATATATATAAATAAATGGCCTAGGTTGACCTTGAACTTGAGTTTCTCCCAGATAAACATTCCAAATTCCACAGTTAGACACATGCCCTATGCTGGCATCAAGATGTTCACAGACCCCGATGGGGCAGCACTGAAGAGCCTGTTTGTTCTAGTTAGGGGTGTCATTGCTGTGACGAAATGTTATGACCAAAAGTCATTTGGGGCAGGGCGGTGGTGGCACAGACTTTTAATCCAGCACTCGGGAGGCAGAGGCAGGTGGATCTCTGAGTTTAAAGCCGGCCTGGTTTACATGGTGAGGTTCAGGACAGCCAGGGTCACAGAGAGAAACCCTGTCTGGAAAAACAACAAACAAACAAACAAACAAAAATAAATAAATAAGCAAGCAAGCAAGTTGGAGGGAAAGAGTTTATTATATATATAAACTGTGTATGTGTGGTACCTGTGGAGGCCAGAAGATATCAGACCCCTTAGATCTGAAGTTATAGATGACTGAACTGCCACGTGGGTACTGGAAACTAAACCCCAATTCCCTGCAAGAGCAGCAAATGCTTTTAACCACTAACACACACACACACACACACACACACACACACAATTGTTAAATGGATATGGGACCAGGAGAGGTCTAGATCTCTATCTTAGTGGGTAGAATGCTTCCATAGCTTTAATGAAACCCTGAATTTGTTTCCCCAGCACCTCATGAGCTGGGTTTGGAGACATATAAGGTGTGGAGGCTCAGAAGTTCAAGGTAACCCTTTCTGGTTTCCTAGGAGTCTGAGGTCACCCTGAGCTACATGAGCCCCTCTCTCCTTCATGAGTGAATGAGGAGGGAGGGAGGACAGGTGGAGGGTAGGAACTCTGAATAAATTTGAGCAGTGGGTCTGCAGAGATGACTCAGTGGTTAAGAGCACTGACTGAGCCGGCTGTAGTGGCACAGGCCCCACAACACTCAGGGACAGAGACAGGCAGAGTTCTGTGAGTTCAAGGCCAGCCTGGTCTACAACACAAGTTCCAGTTCTAGGACAGCCAGAAATCCTGTCGTGGGGGGGGGGGGAGCATTGGCTGCTCTTCCAGAGGACCTGGGTTCGACTCCCAGCATGCACATGACACCTCACAACTGTCTGTAACTCCTGTATCAAAGGATCCAGCTCTCTCTCCTGGTCCCCCATGAATGTGATTCATGAACATGCATGCAGGTGAAACACGCATACAAACAAAGTTAAAGTAAACTTGAGCAGTAGAAACAAGAGACCCAGAGAAGGTCGGTGATGAGGGAGAGAACGAGAGCTGCAGTGGTCTGGTCCCTTTCTCCTGGCGTCAGACCTTCTCCTCCAGGGCAGAGCCTTCTCCTGGGCTCCCCACCTCAGATCTCCCCAGGCATCTCCCCCGCTATGCAGAATCCTCGATCAGCACACAAGAAGTGATAAGAAAGTGTTTTTGTGGGTGGAGACCTCATCTGCTGAACACAGTCACAGGAAGATGGTAGCCTTCAAACTTCAAGGATGGCCAGCTAGCCCCAAGGACTGACAGCGGGACACCAAGGGACACATATTCCCACTGGTTTCCTCACAGAGGTGCTCCATTGCCACCCGTGAGAACTGTCAAGCCAGCGCCTGCTGACAGCTACCATGCTGTCCTCCTGGCTCATCACTGTGACCCTATGACGTGACATCATCAGCACTTCTGTACAGACACCAAAGCGGAGGTACTGAAAGGCCGTCACTTGTCCAGGGACTCTAAACGTCAAAACAGAGCAAGAATTTGAATGGGGTTGGTGGCTCCCAAGCCCTTGTGATACCACCCAGGATCCTGCCTTTCTGTGACCCATGGGACCATGCTTCCTGAGAGGGCTTTGCAGGGTGGCTCTGGAGGTCAGCAGCTCCAGGAGCTCAGAGATCTGAGTCCAAGGTGAATTTACTTGAGTCAATAGCATCTCTGAAGGCAGAGGTTGCAGGAAGGGCCACCAACAGCATGCACGTGTATGTGTGTGTCTGTGCTCATGCTAGTGTGCAAGTAGGTGGGTGGGTGTGGGGCTGGGGCCAGGGGAGACAGTCTACCTATTAGCAGAAAGTAATCAATCTGAAGGCTCCTCACATGCTCGGCACACAGCAAATATTTGTCAAATTAAATTGGAATCCCAAAGACAGCGCTCTATAAATGCAAGGTATCGCTATTACTGTCACCTCCAAGTCACGGGCCCTAGAAAAAAAGACTCAGGAACAGTGTTGTGAGGTAGCATTCGCCAGCTTCCTCCAGGTCATCTCAGGGTGGTACTGACTCCTTTGGGTGGTCGTTCTCTGGGAGATATTCCTGAGCTGGCTGAAGCAGGTCTTCCACTCAGGAACACGGTGACAAGATGCTAATCACAGCAGTAACTGAGAGGCATGGAGTCCTCCCCACAGGCTAGCTGTGTGCTAAGTGCTGTTTCCACACAGTCAATGAACATGCCACCATGTGTCCAGAGGGGAAGGATGGGGTCCACTGGCCATGAGAACATGTACTTCATGTTAAGAATAACTAGGAAACCAGCTCTCCATCTGTCTGCCTGTCTGCCTGTCTGTCTGTCTGTCTGTCTGTCTCTCTCTCTCTGTAGGTAAAGATGGATGTGTATGTATATGTGAACATATGCACATGCGTACACATGCCGAGGCCAGAAGCTGATGTACTCCTCTGCCACTCTCCACCTTACCTTTGGAAACAGGGTTTCTCACTCCACTTAGAGCAGTTTATCCAGGCTGGATGAATAGCAAACAGCATGGGTCCTCTTGTCTCCACCTCCCCAGTGCTGGGATCAGAGGTGCACACCACCAAGCCCTTAAAAAAAGGAGAGGGAGGGAGGGAGGAGCTAGAGAAATGGCTCAAAGATTAAGAGCACTGGCTGCTCTTACAAAAGACCCCAGTTCAACTCCTAATACCCACGTGGCAGCTCACAGTTTTCTGTAACTCCAATTCTAGGGGATCTGACACCTTCATACAGTCACACATGCAGGCCAAACACCAATGCACTAAAGTTTAAAAAAAAAAAAAGTCGTACAGTAGTAGCACACACCTTTAATCTCAGCACTCTGGAGACAGAGGCTAGTGGATCTCTGTGAGTTTGAGGCCAGCCTGGTCTACAAAATGAGTTCCAGGACAGATAGACAGGGCTACACAAAGAAACCCTATCTCAAAACAAAACAGGAAGGAAGGAAGAAAAGAGGGAGGGAGGGAGGAAGGGAGGGAAGATTGTGTGTGTGTGTGTGTGTGTGTGTGTGTGTGTGTGTGTGTGTGTGTGTGTGTGCATACGCAGCCCCACATTGGCACAGCATATCTGTAGAGGTCAGAGGACAACTTTCCAGCGTCCATCTCTCCTTCCACTGTGGGTCCCAGGGATGGGACACAGCCATCAAGTGTGCGTTCCTTTTATATTCTGTGCCACATTAATGGCCCACATCTGGCTGCTGACAGATGCAGGCAGATCCCAGGGCTTCAGTTCCACCCAGGCTGGTGGAATCTTCAGCTCTAGGACAGAAAAAATTCCTGTCTCAAAAAAACAGAGAATAGCCCCTGAGAAGAAACTCCTGGCTCAACCTTGCCCTTCCTACCCCAGCCACACACATTCAAGAGAGTCCCCTAGCCCTGTGCTTTCCTGCCCTGTGAACTTGTGATGTTTGAGAGCTCCTGATCCTAAGGCTGGTCCCTACACTCTCCACTGCCCCTGTAGCCGGGGCAGTCCTCCTGAGGCCATGTCAGTCAGTCATTCCCCCTGACTGCCACACCAATGACATGGAGCCTCCTCCCCGGAGGTCCAGAGCCTTAAAACTTAATAGTCTCTCAAACGCTGTAACACTAAAGGGGGCTTTTATGAACTCAACAGGGCTAATATTATGAGGGGGCAGCCACTGCCTAAAGTGGGCTGCTCACAGTCAGGGGCCCCTCAAACACACTTCAGAGGCCTCGGAGGGCGTCTCCACTCCCAGCTCCTCTGGGTCTGAGGAGGTTACGACTGAGCAGTTTGTTGCAGACAAGGGCCTGGTGGGAGGCGGAGACCCTTGTACCCTGGCTCAGGGGAAGCAGAGGAGCAGGGGGAGGGGCTCCAAGGGGAAAATCTGGGTGACTAATGAGCCGGCAATCGAAAGTTCTGTGGTGTCAATGAGGAGCAGATGGGGGAGGAAGGGAATTTCTGCTGCCTGGCTTCTGAGGTGTGGCTCTAAGGGAGACCGGAGGGAGGGAGCAGGCACCAGTTGAAGGCAAGGCTGCTGGAGCTTTGGGACACAATCTTTACTGTTTTGAAGTCCAGATTTTTCTACTGTTGCCTTTCTTTTTCTTTCTCACTCTCCCCCACCCCATACACTTCTTTTGAGACAGAGTTTCACTGCTTAGCCCTGGCTGGCCTGGAACTCGCTATTGTAGACCAGGCTAGCCTCAGACTCAGAGATCTGCCTGCCTCTGCCTCCAGATGCTAGGATGGAAGGTGAGCACCCTCATGCCTAGCATTTCCCATCATGCCTAGCCTCCTCCATCATGTCTGGTATCTCCCTTCTTTCCCTGTTCCCTTCCCTCAACCCTTTTCTCCTTTCTCAAGAGTGGCTATCCTAGACCAGAAACAGACTCCTGCCTGGGTTCAGTCTGTGTAGGAAGAATGACAAATAAAATACAAGCAACAGAAAATAAAGGCCCATGACTGATTTGCCTACACACACACACACACACACACACACACACACACACACAAACACACTTATCCCAGACGCATACATACACTTACTACATACACACTTATCCCAGACACTTACATACACTTACCACACACACACTTATCCCAGATATATGCATGCATACACTTACTGCACACACACAAACACACAGGTGCCCACGCTCATAAGTACCACACACAAATACATAAACAAGTCTACTTGCAGTCACACTTTTCCAGACACACTGATTTGTAAACACAGGCGCACACTCACACCTTCCCCAGACACATGCACACCCAGGTGCACGAACACACACACACACACACACACATATTTTCTTCATTACCTCCGCAAACACTGTCTTTTCTTTCTGTCTTGAGTTCAATGTTGTTTTTTGTCTCTTTGTGACCCTCCCCCTCCACTTCCCCTCAATTTATTCCAGCTGTGAAAACCTTTTCCACATCTCCTCTGTCACCCCAGCAGATAGGTGAGTGGCAGGCAGAGGAGTCCATTCGGCAGCCACCGTTGGTAATGGGTGCCAGATGTGGAGCTGGCCCCTCGCCCAGCCCAGCTCAGAGCTGGGGCTCCCGCGCCTGGCTCCTGCAGCTGGGCAAGGGAAACTCTGGACTGGGCCAGGATCAGCAGACCCGACTCAGGGGACAGCGGGCACGCGGGTGGGAGCCCCTGCGTCTGGGTTGATCCAGTATGCTAAGAATGTGGCCTGCCTCTAGCTTCCTGTCAGCCATTTTAGTTCCTGGGGGAAAAGGGTTTGCCACTGGTATTATTCATAAATACATGCACTTGATAAAATACAAAAAGCCAATTATAACATTCTAGAATCCTCCGCGTCTTTCTGCCACAGGTGATCATGAGCCAGATGACACTGATGTTTGGTTGGAAGCCACTTGCTCAGGATGAGTTCCTTCTCTCAGGAAGCCAGCCTGGCAACCATATTGTGTAGAGAAAACAACTGTCGCCATCCAACTGATGGAGCGAACGAGACCAAGACCTGCCCATCCAGAGAGTGGTGGTCTCAGGAGCTGAGCACACGCACTGTGAATCCATGGACCACACTACGCTAGCAGAGGGCTAAAGTCTCGCGTGTTAGCTGTGTGGGGAGGGGCGCTCATATGCAAGCCAGAGATCTCTGAGATGTTCTTCCACTTGCTTGGGTATATATATATATATATAATTGTGTCTGTGTATGTGATGCGGGCAGGACACTCACACAGAGGTCAAGAAAACATCTTTGTGGAGTCAGTTCTCTCCTTCCATCTTTACTTGAGTTCCGAGAGTTGGACTCAGGTCACCAGGCTTGTAGTCAGCACCTTTATCCCATGAGCCATCTCACTGGACTCCCTCCGCCTTATTTTTTGTTTGTTTATTTATTTGTTATTTTTAGACAGGATCTCTCCCTAGGATCTAGCTGGTGCCCTTTTGGTTTATCTACACTAACTGGCCAGTGGGGCCCAGCAATCCTGCTGAGCCTCCCTGGCCCCGAGCTTACAAGTGTGCACCACCACACTTAGCTCTTTTTAAAAAAAAAAATATTTATTTATTTATTTATTTATTTATTTATTATGTATACAATATTCTTTTGGGAATTGAACTCAGGACCTTTGGAAGAGCAGGCAATGCTCTTAACCACTGAGCCATCTCTCCAGCCCCATTCTTAACTCTTTATTCTGGTTCTGTAGATAGATCACACTCTAGTCCTGGTGATTATGTGGCAAGAACCTCACAGACTGAGCCATCTCTCAGTCACCGAAGACATTAAATTGTTAGAAGGCATTAGATTTGGCATCATGCATCGGTAATACCAGTATTGGGAAGCTGAGGCAGGAGGATTGACTAGTTTAAAGCTACAAATCAAGTTCAAGGCCAGCCTGGGCTATGGAAGACGCAGCTAAATCTTAGAAGGGACCTGATCCAGAACTCCTACTTTTCTTTCTTTCTTAGCCAGTAAACTGAGTGCGCAAAAACATGAGAACAAGAGTTTGGATGCCCAGCGCCCACGTAAACAGCTGGGCACTTTGGAGGAATTGGAGACAGGCGGATCCTGGAAAGAAGGGGACAGGCCGCCCAGTCTAGCCTAATTGAAGCTCTGGATTCAGTGACAGACCCTGCCTCAAATAGTAAGGTGGAAATTGACAGAGACAGATAGACACCTACCTATGACCAGGGCACGGGACTCTGGCCTCCCCACGGATGTGCACACAGGTGAGTGAGACATGGAGGGAGGCAGTCGGGAGGGCAGACCTGTGGAGTCCATTGCCCTCTTCCGTGCAGAGCCCGCACTTAGCAGGACAGTCTCTGGTCCCAGCATACACTCTCCCTCGGCCTGACTGTGACCTGCTTTGCCCCAGCCGGGACCAGGACATTCTCTGGTGGGTGACCAGCGGTGCTCGAGAGGGCTTGCAGCAAAGGCCTGTGGTCCTCATCTCTAAGCCGCAAGGGTCTCTGTGAAACCAAATCCTCCCTCCCCCACCACTCGCCCACTGGGACACCTGACTCCCTTCTGGAGCTCACTCAGGGCAAAGGCAGCTTCCTGTCTGGATCTTGGTAACCCCCTTGAAATCCAGGCCTCTGCCTCCCCATCCCTTCCAAATGCTTATTAAGCTATTTGCAAATCCAGGGCTGAACCAGGGTGTGAGTTTAATAAATCCAAAGACAGAGGTCATCCATCATGGGCGGGTGGGCTGGGGCTTCCGGGTGCACACTCTCCTGGTACTTCTGGTCAACCAGCGGCGGGCATATCCACACATTTCCTGTCCAAGGTGCTCCCACTGAGTGCTCTCTCCTCAGCTCATGTCCCTGTTGGCTCAAGTCTGTATAAAGAGAATAGCTGGGAGTCATGGACGTCAACAACAGGCAGGGCCTTGGCCCCAGGAAGATGCTTAACAGGAGTGGAGGACCATAACCTCAGCCATCAAGATAAGTCACATTTAAATTAATAGCTTGTTGTGATGGTATTTTCTTGGGGATGGAAGGTGAAGGAGGTGGGGCAAGATCTCATGGATCCTGGGCTAGCCTCAAATTCACTAGCAGCTGAGGATGGCTTTTGGATCCTCCTGCCTCCACTTCTCTTGTCATTACAGTCAAAATCACAATCATAGCCAATTCCCATGGCTCACCACTTTACATATACACAGGGCCAGCCTTACGGATTGCCCTGGGGGCCAGAGTGCTTCGTGGTGCTCACTGGACCAGGTACCCAGCCACCTTCCACTTCTAGACTATCCCTCCCACCCCCATCCCAGGCATGCGCCTTCTACAGTCTTCTTACTTCACTCTGGAAGTTACATAGTTACCCTGCCTCAAAAAAACATTTATTATTATTGACAGGGGGTGGGTGGCCATGCTTGCTGGGGTGCACATGTGGACATGGAGGCCATCGAGTCTGTCACTCCACTTTATGTAGGTTCCAAGGATGGAATTCAGGTCATCAGACTTGAGCCACAACACCTTTTCCCTCTGAGCCACCTCATTGCCCCCTTTCCCCTTTAAGATAGCTTCATGCTGTTCATGACGGCCTGGAACTCCCTATGAAGACCAGGCTGGCCTCAAACCTGTGGGGTTCCCTACCTCTGCTTCCCGGGATCTCTCTCTTATCTTTTAGCTTTTTGTTGTTGTTACTTGAGATTCCTAGTTTGGTTTGAGATCCATCCCCCCCCCCCCAGTCCAGGCTGGCCTTGAACTCCTAATCCCCCTGCCTCTACCTCCTACAAGCTAGAACTGGAAGATGTGAGTCACCACGCCCACTTCCCCTCTTCACTTCTTAGCTTGCACTGGTGCCTATGCCGCTGGTGAGAACCTGCTCCTCTGCACCAGCCTTGGCACTAAGGTGCCCCAATTCCTCCTGGATGAGGCTGGAAGCTCCAAGGTGAAAAGGGGATTCATAGACAGACCTCACTAAGGGAGCCCATTCGTGTGATGTGGGCTTGCCAGGCACATAGGAGGCCTCATTTTCTAACTCCCAGACTAGTGAGCACCACATTGGTAGCTTGAAGTTCCAGGTGGAGGGGATATAGAGGGCATGGAGACTGGCGAAGGAGGATTTCCTCCGAGAGTCAGCTTTGGGTCATGTACCAGCCCACCCCTGCTTCTCCACCAGCAGCACACACTCACACACGCACACACACACACACACACACACACACACACACACACACCCTCTGAAGAGGCCTGAAAATGAGCTCCACCCCAAAAGTCTGGGCACCCCTTCTCAACTGTGAAAAAGCTGGGACTGTATGGCTTACAGACAGTGCAAGAGGAGCTGGTGAGTGAACCCCAACCATCTCTTTCAGCCCTGGTGGATATTGAACAGTCTAGGAATGGAAGGGTTCTCTGAAATCAATTAGATGTGAAAACACTTCAGAACAGGGCCTCAAACTAAAACAGGTCTCCAATGCACGGTGGTCCCAAGCTCCTTGCCCTAATATGAGGTTTGAAACTACCAAGGGAGACGCTGTGGCTAGTCCCACTTTCCAGATGGAAAAACACAGTGAGATGTATTAGGCCCCTTACCTGAAGTCCTGTGCGAGTGAAGTTGGGATTCACACCTAACAGCCCTGCTCTCTCCTTATGTGGCATCACTGACGTGTTTGGGCATAGGGACAAGCGTGGAGACCTCACTTCTCCACATCCAGCCACAGACTGCGAGGAGTCTTCCACAATTGTTACTTGCTGCATTTTTAATTATCTATTTTTATTTTATGTGCATTGGTGTTTTGCCTGCCTGTGTGTCTGTGTGAAGGTGTCGGGTCCCCTAGAATTGGCATTACAGAGAGTTGCGAGCCACCATGTGGATGCTAAGAATTGAACCCTGGTCCTCTGGAACAGTCAGTGCTTTTAACAGCTGAGTCACCTCTCCAGCGCCCACTGCTTGTTGCTTTTGACCCCAACCTGGCCTCAAGCACTGCCAAGGACACACGTAGCCAAGGATGACCTTGAACTTCTGTGTACTAATTACTTCTCTGCTGCAGAAAACTAAGATAACATAAAGAAGGGAGAGTTTGTTTGACTCATGATTCCAGAGTAAGAGTCCAGCATGGTGAGGAAGCCGGGCAGCAAGCAGCAGGCACAGTGGCTGGAGCAGGATGCTGAGAGCTCATATCTAAACAGCAAGCACAAAGTAGAGAGAACTACCTAACAAAGGCACAGGCTGAGTCTGCTCCAAGTGACACACTTCCTCCTGCAAGGTCACACCTCCTGAACCTCGACAATTGGTGTCGTTGACTGGGAACTAAGGGGTCAGATGCATGAGCCTATGGGGACATTCCCACCCAAATTCTGTCTCCACCTCACAAGGGCTGGGGCTAGAAACCAAGCCCAGTTTTATGCAGTGCTGAGACAACCTTTCTACCAGCTGAGCACCTCCCCACCCTGCTGAGTCCTTATGTGTACATCTCTAAAGGACCTCTCGTAGTGCTCAGGCCCCTGCCTGCCACAACACACCTGCTTATGCCCATTGGACATTCTCCCCAGATGAGGCCACTTCGCCATGTAGCACGCAACTCCCCGAGGCATTTCTCTTCTGACTTACTCTAGGACAGAGTCCCAATCTGGCCTGACCTGACCCCCCACACACACTACTCAGTCCTCAAAGCTGCGCTGTCACCCTTCCAGAGCCTGATTCTATGAGGGTGGAGGCCAGAGCCAGAAGAGGCAGAGCCTGGGAGGTCAAGGGCAGGCCGGGGAGCTTTTCTGCAACATCCCTTCAATCCTTCTTTTGTCTCTGGTTCCTTGTGGTGTCTCTCCAGCTGCCTTCTGTTCCCTTAGTTCCTTTGCTCTTGCCTGTGAGTAGATCTCCTGGTTATCTCGTCCGTAAATCTCTGTCCCCCTCACTTCTGATGGTGTCCGCTTTTGTCTCTCTCTGGTCCATCTGTTTAGTGGCAGGAGTGAATATGCATTTTTCTTCCTTTCTACTTTGTGGTTGTCTGTGTCTCCCTGTATGTTGCTTCTCTTACATGGTGAGTGTGTGTGTGTGTGTTGCATATGTGTGTAGCTGTATGTGTGCATATAAGCGTGTGTGTTGCATGTGGCATGCGTGTAGGTGTGTGTTGCGTGTGTGTGCATGTAGGTGTGTGTTACGTGTGTGCATAATGTGTGTTTGTATACATGTGTGAATGTGTGTGAGCATGAATTATATGGGTACATATTTGTGTGTGTTCTGTGCGTGTGTATGCATGGTGTGTATGAATGGGGGGTACACATGTATGTGTGCATGTGTGTCTGTGTCTCAGTCTCAGGGTCCACCCTGAAGCTCTTTCTGCCTGTCTACCCATAACTTCGTGTGTCTGTCTGTCTTCAGGGTTCTCTCGAGGTCTCTTCCTGGCAGCATTCACTCAGTTCATCATGGCTGCTCTCTGGAGACACCCACTTACCCCTCCCAAAGTTCACTGCCTTGTCAAATGGAGCTAATCTCCTGCGGGAGGAAAAAGCTTCATTCACACTGCGGGGGGAGGGGGAGTAGGGCAGAGGAGGAGGGGGAGGGTTCAGGGGCTGCAGTCTGAAAACACCCTGGCCTATAATACCGCTTTTGTTCTAGGCTAGTGGGAGGGGATGGTGGGGGAGGGAAGAAGGGGGATATTAAAGGAGCAGGTGAAAGGCTTGTCTTCGGCAGCCATGATAAGCGCTTACCCCTTCTAATCTGACTACGGCCTATTATCTTCCCGCCACAGTCATTACTATTAATATTAAACACCCCCAACCCAGCTGAAAAACAACTTGAAAGCTCTGACTCCCACCGCCCTTCCCAGACACCTCCCACAGTACTTGACCACCAAACTGGGCTCCCAGACCCCACGGCCCCCTTGACTTCCCCCTGACCCTCAGTACCCAAAGCCTCCTTTCCCCCACCCTCAGCCACACTCTCCTGCTTTGATAATCAACTAGTTCTCTCTCTAGTGAACCCCCATTTTGGCTTTATTTCTGGGGACTTCTCTATACCCCAGGCCTCTTCTCTCCCCAGGAGAAAAATGGCAAGTGGAAGGTTTGTTCCCCTGATTGAAAGCTATCAAACACAGCTGATTTATACAAGTAAGTTTTCTAATCCTGCGAGCTTCAGTTTCTCATCTCTAAAATGGGAGGAAGATGTAGTCTCTACAACTAAGGATTGTGTGAGTGAGTGGATGAATATTTACTTATCCTATCCCTGATGTCATTTTTAAATTAAATCATTATATTGATCTAGTTCAAAAGTTTTTGTTCATATGTATGTGAGAGGCAGAGAGAGCACGCACTCGTGTGCCTTGCTACATGTGTAATTGAGGAGACAATTTAAGGGAGTCATCCATCTTTATGTGGGTCTCTACCCACTGAGATACCCTGCTACCCCTCATTTGCATAGGATCTCACTCTGTAGCCCTGGCTGTGCTGGAACCTGAAACAGAGATCTGCCTCCTGAGGACTGAGATTAAAGACATGTACCACCACACCTGACTTTGTTTTAGTTTTGAGATACGGTCTTACTAGGTAGCCTAGTCTGGCTTCAAAGTTATGATTTCCCTTCCTGACACCTGTTCAAACTGACATTACAGTCCCAGGCCAGCATACCCAGATAAATCCTTGATATTTTACACATTGTTTGTATGCATATGTATATATAAATGTTTGTGCAGCACTGAGGGTCAGACCCCAACTTCACATGGACCAGGTAAGTACTTTATCACTGAGCTCTTCCTGGCCTCTGTAGCTTATATTCTTCCTAAATTAATTAGTGCTACATGCATGTGCTCGTGTGATCTATGTGCACCATGTATGTGCTGGTGTGAGTCTATGTGCAGCATTCATGTACTCATGAGTCTATGTGCAGCATGCATGTGCTCACAAGTCTATGTGCAGCATGCATGTGCTCGTGTGAGTCTATGTGCACCATGCATGTGTTCATTTGAGCCTATGTGCACCATGTATGTGCTAGTGTGAGTCTATGTGCACCATGTATGTGCTCATGTGAGTCTATGTTCACCATGCATGTGCTCGTGTGAGTCTATGTGCACTATGCATGTGTTTGTATGAGTCTATGTACACCATGTATGTGCTCATGTGATCTATGTGCACTATGCATGTGTTTGTATGAGTCTATGTGCACTATGCACGTGCTCGTGTGAGTCTGTATGCACCATGCATGTGCTTGTGTGAGTCTGTGTGCACCATGCATGTGCTCGTGTAAGTCTGTGTGCACCAAGTGCATGCAGGGTCACTCAGCAAAGAATAGGCTGCTGGATCCCCTGGCACTAGAACTGGTTGTGAGTCACCATGTGGATGCTGGGACTCCAAGCCAGGTCCTCTGCAAGAGCAACAAATACTTTTAACCACTGAGTCATCGCTCCAGTTCCTGTACCTTACTTATATCTTATCTTAGAAGCCTATGAACCTTGAACTTTCAAATACAACTGTCAATATTTTATTCCTCAACAGAAATGGCTGAAAGACACTTAAGGAAATGCTCAACATCCTTAGCCATCGGAAAAATGCAAATCAAAACAACTCTGAGATTCCATCTTACACCTGTAAGAATGGCCAAGATAAAAAACACTGATGACAACTTATGCTGGAGAGGTTGTGGAGTAAGGGGAACACTTCTGCATTGCTGGTGGGAGTGCAAATTGAATGTCAGTGTGGCAATTTCTCAGAAAATTAGGAAACAACCTACCTCAAGATCAAACAAGACAATTTTTGGGTATATACGCAAAGGATGTTTAATTGTACCACAAGGACATGTGCTCAGCTATGTTCATAGCAGCATTATTTGTCATAGCCAGAACTGGAAACAACCTAAATGCCCCCTTGACCAAAAAGTGGATAAGGAAAAGGTGGTACATTTACACAATGGAGTACTACACAGCAGAAAAAAAAATTACATCTTGAAATTTGCAGGCAAATGGATGGATCTAGAAAACATCATATTGAGTGAGTTAACCCAGACCCAGAAAGACAAATATCCTATGTACTCACTCATAAGTGGCTTTTAGACATAAAGCAAAGAAAGCCAGCCTACAATTCACTATCCTAGAGAACCTTGACAACAATTAGGATCCTAAGAGAGACATACATGGATCTAATACACATGGGAAGTAGAAAAAGACAAGATCAGGGCTGGACAGATGGCTCAGTGGTTAATAACATTGCCTGTTCTTCCAAAGGTCCTGAGTTCAAGTCCCAGCAACCACATGGTGGCTCACAACCATTTGTAATGAGGTCTGGTGCCCTCTTCTGGCCTGCAGGTACACATGCAGACAGAATACTTATACATAATAAATAAATATAAAAAAATCCTAAAAAAGGAAGAAAAAGATAAGATCTCCTGAGTAAATTGGGAGCATGGGGACCATGGGAGAGAGTACAAGGGGAGGCGATAGGAAAGGAGGGGAATAAACAAAAACATATAGCTCAATAAAAACAATAAAAAAAAGAAATAGAAAAAATATAATACCAGGCAGTGGTTTCTAACATCTTTAATTGCAGCACTTGGGAAGCAGAGGCAGGCAGATCTCTGACTTTGAGCTCCAGGGCAGCCAGGGCTACATAAAGAAACCCTGTCTTGAAAACAAAACAGGCCAGGCCATGGTGGTGCACGTCTTCGCCTTTAATCCCAGCACTAAGGAGGCAGAGGCAGGCAGATCTCTGTGAGTTCTGAACTACACGAGCTAGTTCCAGGACACAAAGCTACAGAGAAACCCTGTCTCAAAAAAAAAAAAAAAAAGAAAAGAAAGACAAAAGCCAAGTAAGCAAACAAAAAACAACAATAACAGAACTCTGCATATTTTAAAATTCCATTTGATTTAAAGAGGAAGTTTATTTCATTTATTTACTTATTATTTTGGGTTTTTTTTTTTTTTGAGACATACTTTCTCTGTGTAACAGCCCTGGCTGTCCTGGAACTCCCTCTGTAGACCAAGCTGGCCTCAAATTCAGAGATCTGCCTGCCTCTGCTTCCAAAATGCTGGGATTAAAGGTGTGCACCACCACTACTTGGCATAAAAAGGAAGTTTTAAAAAGTAAAAATTAAATCTCAAAATGAATATAAAATAAAATGCTAAAAAAAAATCCCTCCCCAAATCTCACGCAAATTTAAAGGGTGGGGCTAGGCATAATGATATACTTCTTTTTTGTTTGTTCATTTTTGCCGAGACAGACAGGGTTTCTCTCTGTAGCCCTGGCTGTCCTGCAATTCACTCTGTAGACCAGGTTGGCCTCGAACCTGGAGATCTGCCTGCCTCTGCCTCCCAAGTGCTGGTATTAACGGTGTGCGCCACTGCAGACTCAGCAGGACTCAGCAAGTGGAGGCGTACTTCTAAAAGCTCAATTCCTAGTCAACAAAGATCAGGAGTTCAAGGTCATCCTCAGCCACTTAGCAAATTTGAAGTCTGAAATGGCTCAGTGGTTAAAGAAGCTTGCTGCTAGTACAAGGTTTTGTTCCCAGCACCCACATAGCTACTCACAACTAAACCTCTATAACTCCAGTCCCAAACTCTTCTGACCTCTGCACAGGCGCGCACGCGATGAATTGCTGTGTGTTTAGGATTGCACCGTCCCTTCCCTTGCCTCTCTGCTCCTGTGTATGGTGTTTGCTGACGCCGCCTGAGACCCTGTCCAGTTTTGATGCCTGTACCTTCTTTCTTCACAGAATGACTGCCTGCCATTCTAGCCATACTTTCAGTAGGTCAGCCAATCATGATTCCGCGGACCCTCCTACCTTAGGGTGGGCCCATGAAACAGACCCAGCCAATCAGCACTAGCCATCTGCTTTGCCCAGGAAGTGAACACCTGACCAAGCTGGGACAATAGGAGTTATCCCGTCAGAGTCTGTAGCCCGCAGCTTTGGGCCTGGTAAGCTCTCTCTCCTCTGAACCTGACTTTGCTCCCATCTCTCCCTGGTCCTCCGATGGATCCAAGAAGCTCTGACCTTCCTTCTTTGCAGCTAGAGGAGACTCAGCTTCAGGAGGAGAGAAGCAAACAGAGGCCAGTGAGCTGGCTCGACTGGTAAAGTTGCTTGCTGCCAAGCCTAGACCTGGGTTCTTCAGTGGAAGAAGAGACATGACTCGCACGAGTTGTCTTCTGCTCCCGTACTCATGCATGGCGTGCATGCATGTGCGAGCGTGTGCGGGCACACACCCCATCCCTTCTGGCGCCATTACTACTCATATTCGCCTTCCTTCTCCATGAGGTGAATTTCCGTGATCGCTCCATGGACAACGGTCCCCAGCACACCCGGTACTACTTCATATCACCTGGCCTAGCTACACTGAAGACAAGACAAAGATCAGGAGACCAACAGGAGACTGAAGCTATCTTGGGATAGATGTCACCTGCTGCCATGGCCTCTTGAGGACCTCTGTGACAAGCTTTGGGCTGGAAGGGATCCCAGGAAGATAGGAAGACCGAAGACTTGCCCTAACCGGCCCTGCACCATCTGTAACAGAAAACAGACTCAGCTTCCTGCGTTGGAGAGAGAGAGAGAGAGAGAGAGAGAGAGAGAGAGAGAGAGAGAGAACACATGTGTTTTGAAGAGAGGCTTACACTGTGCCTCAGGCTAGCCTGGAATGTGCTACGTAGCCCAGGCTTGCCTCCAAGTCTTAGCAATCTTCCTGCCTCAGCCCCAAGCACTAGGATAGAAGTTACCTCACGTGGGTTTGAGCTGTATTCTCAGCCCTCTTTTTACTTTTTACTTTGAGACACGGACTCATTAAGCTGCTCAGGCTTGCCTTGAACTTTGGTTCCTACAGTCTCCCGTTTCTGTATAACTGTGATTGCAGGCTCATATGACTAGGTCTTGCCCTGGCTTCCCCCACCCCCGGCTTTCTAAGAGACTGCAAAACTGTCCAGCTATGTATGAGTTGAGCCGGCTTCAATCTGCCCTGCACTGGGGACGCTCGGGAAGAACTCACCCTGTATTTCTCCACTTGCTCAGAGACTCACCCAATCTTCCCTCCCCTGCCCTCTGCCCTACTTAGCACAGGCTCATGCATGCTGTACACTGTGCCCTGAGAGCCCAGGCTGCAGCAGGCATGCCTGTCCTGCCGCTGTCACTAGCTGTGTGGCTTCAGGCAATATATTTACCTCCTCTGAACTTCAGTTTCTTTAAGAAATGGAAAAGGTTTCAAGAATGAACGAACATAAAGGGCTTGAAACTGGGGTCAGAGAGACAGCTCAGTGGCTAAGAGTGGACACTGCACTTGGAGAAGACCTGAGTTTGGTTCCCAGCACCCACACCAGGCAGGTCATGCCCTGTAACTCCAGCTCCAAGGGATCCCACATACCTGGCCTCTGCATGCCTACACCCACTCACACGCACATACTCACACATATAGATAAATAATAAAAATTGGAAGAATAAGCTGTTTGGGGTTATTCCCAGCTCATAGTAAGTACTGACTGAATGAAGATTAACTCTTGATAAACTGATGCTAGGGTGTGTGTGTGTGTGTGTGTGTGTGTGTGTGTGTGTGTGTGTTCAGGACCTCCTCCACACTAGGTAGGAGACCCCTATGGGCAGAAACACACCTTGCTCATTTAATTTTGAAGAGTATATGTGTGAGTGCCTGCATGTACGTATGTTCACTGTGTGCAGCAGCATCCAGAGGTTCGAAGAGGATGTCAGAGTCCCCACCTGGCGCTGAGCAACAGGTGGCTGTAACCTGCCATCAGATACCCAGGAGTGGACCTGAGTCGTCTGCAGGAGCAGCCGCTGCTCTTAACTGCAGAGCCACCTCTCTGTCCCCACATCCTGCTCATTTTTAAAGACTGGAGTCTCAAAGTCCTAAGAAATAAAAATGGCAAAATAAACTGGGCAGTGGTGGCGAATGATTTAAAACCAGCACTCCACTCAGGAGGCAGAGGCAGGAGTATCTCTGTGAGTTTGAGGCCAGTATGACCTACAGAGAGAATTCTGGGACAGTCAGGGCTACACAGAGAAACCCTGGCTCAAAAAGAAAAAGGAAAAAAGAAAACGAAAAGAAAAATCAAAAAGAACTGAATGAAGGAATAAAAGGTGTCCTGTCCTGGGTCTCCCCCTCATCCCTCACAAGTAGACGTCAATTTTGTTCACCCCTGACCCGGGGTGAGAGACCTGTCAGGCAAAGAGGTCTCATAACTCAACAACACAAAAGCTAATTCTGCTGGCTCTGCTCTGTCTCTGCACTGTATACACCATGAGAAAGGGAAGGGTCACTCTGCATTCAGCCCACGGGGTAGAGGTGGACACTGAGGGGTAGCCACATACAGCTGGCTGGTGGCGGGAGGGAGGCCAGGACCTTGTCACCTGTTTGGTCAGAGCTTGCCAAACACACACCAGAAGCTAAATGTCCCCTCTTTTGTCCCCGGCACAGCGCCTCACTCTGCTGTGGTCTGTTTCAGAGCATACTGGTCCAAGTCCAGGCGACTGTCACCCTCCCCACAGCCTTTGTTTATGACTGCACCTTCCATTTGTCCCGATATTTGTACAGCCTTGCTGGAGGGGAGGCAGAGTAGAGGGAGCCCAGCATCCAGGACTGAAGGTGACTCCTGAGTACAATGGCCTATTGTGGCCCCAAGTCACGTCCCCTCCCCCTCCACCACGCCCAGCACACAGCATCCTGTTTACCTGCCCCCAGGAGCTGGCGGCTTCTCAGGTGCCACTCTAGCCCGGCCCACGCGCAGGCATTGCCAAACCCTCTGCCCAGGAGCCCCAGGCTTGTTATCTGCGCAGTTCCTAGGGGCACCCCCAGTCTTTGTTTTAGCCCCAGAGACTCTCTGCTCCAACAAGATGCCCAACAGATTCTGTAGACATGCACCGGTAATTGTAACAGCCTCCAGGTCTCTGGGCCTCTAGGAAGAGGTTCTGGAAGCTTCTGAAGTGCAGGTGGCATTGTGAAGGAGGTGGTGGCCAAGCATCAGCTGGCTGGGGGCAGGGGGGAGGCTTTCTTTCCTTGTCCCCTTGCCTGAGCCTGGATGGGGAGCGTGAGAAGACAGAGCCCACTGCTCTCTAGGGACTGAAAACCCAAATAAGGCACTCCCTTGGTCCAGCTGGGATGCCTTTCTCTCGCTGCTTCAGAGGTCAGAGATCAAAGGTCAAAGGTCAGGGCATCAGGAAGACCCTTGGAGACAGACCCTCCTCTAAGAAGGCAGATGGAGAGGGCCAGTACCTCAGGTCCAGGCTGCGTTTGTGGACAAGCTGCTGTGTGGAAGTGTGGAGTGCTGTTTGTCCACACGCTCTCCCTCACAAAGAGTTGTTGCAGAAGAGGACAAGGGTCCTTGCAGAGAAAAGCCAGGGACAGAGGAGTTATGGAAGAGCAGGAAACTCCAAGGAGAGATGAGGGGTTCCGACAGAGATGGGAAGGGGCGGGGCAAAGAGAGGCAGATTGCAGAGCTGGAGGTCCAACCTGCTCATTTTCCACATCATGAGTTCAAGGCCCAGAGGAGAAGCACACCTAGCCTGAGGACACACAGGAAGTCTAGTGTCAAAGAACCAAGGCACTGGGCCAGAAGGCATTTCTTAGCTTTCTGTTGAGCTGTAAAAGGGGGGTTCAGGGGTCCAGCCTTGTTCGTCTTCCAGAGATGCAGGAATCAGTTAGGATACCCATCATGCCTCTCAAGACAGGTATTGGGGGTTTACCAGCCACATTTACAGGCTTCACTTCAAGGTAAGGTTTGATGGGATTTGTTTTCCCTAGTCCCCCATCTGTCTCTTTTGTAAAGATTTGTTTTTTAACGATGTGAATATACATATGGATACGTGTGTATGAGTGCAGGTGCCCCAGCGGCCAGAAGAGGGCGTCAGACCCCTTGGCGTTACAAGGGGTTGTGTCCCAGGGAGCTGCCCAAGATGAGTGCTGAGAACTGAACTAGGGTCCTCTAGAGTGTCATCAAGAGCTGCTTACATACACAGTGCACAGTGCATAGTACCCCCCCCCACACACACACAATTAAAAATAAAAACAAATCTCAGAGGCACAGACCGTCATGCCCAGAAGGAACTGGAGTTCTGTTCTGAGTGTGTATGGAAGGGTCCCTTTAGGAGGGCAGGTTATGCTTGGTTGCTCGGCCAGAGGCTGGGGTGGGCAGCTGCAGTTGGCAGGCATCCTTTGATTCCTCTCTCAGCATGTGCCAGCCACTCTCGCTACTCTCTGCTCACACCAAAAGACTCCGAAGTTGAGAGTCTCCTTAGAGGCTGGGAGGTGGGCTGGGAGAGCTGGAAAGACCCAGGAGGCCTTGGGGGAGAGAGGAGGTCACACTGGAGACCAGCCCTGCATCTGGCACGAGCCCCACTGGGCCAGGGTCCCAGGGAGTCACTAATTCCCGATGATACATTCGCTGATGTATTCTCTCTCTGGCTGTATTCTCGCGGCTGGCACTCTCTCTCGCAAGTCCCCATTGTCTCTATAGCCGGCTGCGGGACCAGGGCAGCCACCTCAAGACCTCGTGCCTCTCATTCACTTCCAGAGAAGAGAGACTCTCACTCCAGGCACACGACCCTCCCCGCCCTCTCCCAGATGGCCCAAGGGTCCAGCTGCCAAGCAAGCAGGCACTCCCAGGTAGGCAGCTGGCAATGCTTGGATGAGGGGCTAAGCTGACCAGGCAGGCTGTAGACGGGAGGCCTTGCCATGACTCCACCGAGCCTGCGCAGGAGGGGCAGGGGTGTGGCCCACAAGGAAGTGGGTGTCAGGGTGTTGAGGAATAGGACAGAACAAGGGCAGAGGCGAGGATTTCACTGACCTGAGTGGGCGGGAGTGAAGCGAATTCATAAAACGTTGTGCTTCTTTAATGGTCTCGTTCCCCTCCCCTTTGCGAAGGCCCTGCTGCGGGAGGGAGCTGACGCGGTCGGGGGCAGGGCAGGGCTGGGCCCTCCACGAGTGACACCGAATTCCCAGTCTGGACTGGGCGGGAGCTTGAAAGCAGCTAAATTAGCAAAACAGAAGTCAACCGTCGATCGCTTCTACGGAGGATTAAGTGTGATAAATGGAGGGTTTGTTCGCTCTCCGGGCCAGATGTTGTGTCTAAGTGAGGGGTTTTTATGCTTTTTTTTTTTTTCATTCTTGGCCCAGATCCCATATATATTTTGGATACTGCTGGGAGTATATAATATCACTGGAAAATGATGTGGTCTGGTAACCTTTTAAATAACATTTCCGCCCTCCTCTGTTTTCTAATAGTTTGTTTTTCTTTCCATGTTTGCCTTTTATTGGGGGAAATTTTTTTTGGAAATTAATGAGGCTCAAGTTTGGAGACCAAAATGAGAGAGGGAGGGAGGGAGGGAGGGAGGGAGGGAGGGAGGGAGGGAGAAGGTGGAAGGGTGCGGGATGAGTCTGGGACGGTGTAACGTTCTGTGTGTGTGTGTGTGTGTGTGTGTGTGTGTAAGTGATCTTGCCCCCCCCCCCCACACACACCTTTTAAATGTTCCCTGCCCTCGGTTGGGGCTACGTGGTGGCACGCGCGGGCAGAACGCCCGGGATTCGTCCTGCCCGGGCCACGGGGCTGCGTGCCTCCTTCCTTCGGGAAGAACCTGCCATTCCCCTGGCTCAGCCCGGGCCCGGAGTGAGGGGGATGGGGGCGCCTCCTTCCTGAGTGAAACCTACGGAATCCGGCAGGAATTCGGGCCTCCCAGATTTAAGAAAACAAACAAAGGAAAGATTGTCAGAGAGGGGCCTCCAAGAGCCGCCCCGGCCGCCGCACCGCGCTCGGCGCTTGCCCCCTGGGCTGCCAGGGCCTTCAGCAGGGGCGGAACGCCTGGCTCCGGCTCCCACGGGTGGTCCCCAGTGGGCTTCCCTGCCCTGGGCCTCTACTAGCAGGTCATCCCCCAGTCTCGGAACTGGTGGAATACTCCCCTCCCCAACACATAAGAAAGGAGCTGCCGGTGTGACTGCCGGGCGGCGGCGTGGGGGGGGGGGTGGCGAGGTGGGCATCCCTCTGCCTGAGTAGAGTCTCATCAGCACAATGTTCAGGGTGAATTGGTGTCTCAGGCTCGCGTTTGGGGAGAAATACCGACTCCTCAGGTTCGTTTGGGGACAGGGGTCTTCCTTCACCCAGTCAGGCTAGATCTACGACACTAGTCGACAGACTCAGTCCCACACTTTGTCAGGCCCGGGAAAAATTAGAAAGTGAAAATGTGGGAAGAAGGGGCCATGAAACAGAAGGTATACCTATCAAGGACCACTGCTCACCACCGCCACGTTGCTGCCCATCTCTGGATCATGGGTCATTCTGCCGGTTTCTGTCTCCCCAACTCCTGTCTCCCTGTCGTCTGCCTCCACCTAGGTTTCTGGTCCTCCCTGTCTCTGTAGCTACATCTTTTTTTAGGATGTCTCTGACCCTTCCTGTGTCTGTCCCTGAGCTTGACTCTCTGAGGGGTGTGTGTGTGTGTGTGTGTGTGTGTGTGTGTGTGTGTGATTGTCTTCTGTCTGCCTGCCTAAGTCTCTCTCCCTCTACACACTCTACCCCCCCCCCATTTTACTCAGTCTCCCCACCCCGCCTAGGTAGCCCCGCGGGCCTGCATCCAAGGCGACCCGGGGTAGGGCCTTGCTGGCGCTGACAGAGCCTTGCGCCCGCGGCCCAATTAGCGCGCGGCGCGGGCGACGCGGCATCTGGAATTGCGCTGCGCTCACGGCCAAGGCCGATTGTTTAGTCTGCGCGGCGGGGCGGGCGGCCCGCGCGGTGGCCCCACATCTGGAGCCGCGGCCAGACGGGCCTGCTGGCGGCTGGCCGGGGTGCGTGTGCATTTTTAACTCTGGGATTTGCTGACAAGTTAAGAAGTCAGAAAGTCAGTGGCGGCGGCGGGAACTGGCGGGGAGTGCAGGGAAGGGAGCGGCTGGGGCAGCTGCCCAACCCGGGTGACTTTTTCTTCCGGATTGCGTCCCTCCCCGCCTTTATCTTCTCCTTCCTTTTCATTAATTAAGTGGCTGAATTATCCCTAAATCCCCACACTCCCCAGCTGGCAGGAGCTCCCTGGAGGCCCGCATCTACCAGGGAAAGCCCTGTGCACTCTGGTCTCCCACGCTGTGGAGAAGCACACAGAAAGACAGAGTGGCTCTGCAGTTGGGCGGCAAAGAGGACCAGAGGACAACTCTCAACTCGCTAACGGGACTCTTGGCACAGCTCCGTGTCCCCCTTGGGGATGGTCCAAACTGAGGAGCCTTTCTCACTTTGCCAGCGAGCCTTCCAATCCTAGCAGACATGCTTTTGAGTTTCCATTCATTCGCATAGTAAATAGCGGTTACACATTGTGTCGGGCCTGGGGGCACAGCTGTAAGCGTGATGGGCGTATGCTTGTCCAGCACAGTTGACATTTTAGTAAAGATGAAAGATACACTGAGAGATGCCGGGCCTGGTGGCGCGCGCCTTTAATCCCAGCCCTTGGGAAGCAGAGGCCCGTGGATCTCTGTGAGTTCGAGGCCAGCCTGGCTACAAAATGAGTTCTAGGGCAGGCAGGACTGTTACACAGAGAAATCCTGTCTCGGAAAACAAAACAAAAGTCCAGAGGGAGACCTAAGACCGGAAGTCAACAAACTCTTGGAACTGGGAGTGTAGCACAGTTGGTTGAGTGCTTGGCTAGTCTGCTGGAAACTCTGGGTTCGGTTCTTGCCCTTGGCAGGTGGAGACAAAAGGGGATCAAGAGTTCAAGGCCACTGTTCTTTAGGAAGAGTCAAGCCAGTCTGAAATACTGAGACTGGCTCTGTATAAAAAAAAAAAAACCAGAACAGCCTGGCGGTGGTGGCGCACGCCTTTAATCCCAGCACTCAGGATGCAGAGGCAGGCGGATCTCTGGGAGTTCGAGGCCAGCCTGGTCTACAAGAGCTAGTGCCAGGACAGGCTCCAAAGCTACAGAAAAACTTAGAAAAAAACTTAAAAAAAAAAAAGAACAAAGATACAAAGTATTGAAAAACAAGTTGGATGATTGTAGCTTATTTCTTCTGTAATCAGTATGACAGATTGATCCTTTTGTTTGTATCCACTGGTCAGGCCCTCAATGTCTTAGTGAGGTATTCCCATGTTCACTGAATTAAGCTTTGACTACAAAACCAGGGATTTTGTGTTTGCTTTTGTTTGTGTTTCAAGACAGAGTTTCTCTGTGTAACAGCCCTAGCTGTCCTGAAACTAACTCTGCAGCAGACCAGGCTGGCCTCACAGAGATACACCTGCCTCTGCCTCCCAATTGCTGGATCAAAAGGTGTGCACCACCACCCGCTGGCCGAAACCAGTGATCTTTTTCATGTGTGTCTGGCATGCATGCATGTGTATATGAAGGCCAGAGGGCAAAGCTAATGTTTTCTTCTATTGCTTTCCATCTTTTTATTTTTTTAAGATTTATTCGTTTATTTTCTGTTTATAGGTGTTTTGTCTGCACCTTTGTCTGTGCACCATGTTCATTCCTGCTGCCAGTGGAGGTCAGAAGAGGGTGTCAGATCCCCTGAAGCTGGAGGTACAGATGGTTGCAAGCCACCCTGTGAGTGCTGGGAACTGAGCCTGAATCCTCAGTGGGGTTCTTCTTGTCCACCTTGATGTGAGTTCCTGGGATTGAACTCAGGTTACCTGGTGATCCTGGTGAGAGTCCTTACCTGCTGACCCATCTCTCCTAACCATATTTTTTTTCATATTTATGTGTGTGTTCACTCAGTCATCTCTTTAATCTTCATCATTGTCTTCAAAGACTGAGTCTTATATAGCCCAGGCTGTCCGCAAACTCTCTATGTAGCTGAGGATGACGTTGAACTCCTGATCTCCTGTCTCTACTCCCCAAGTGCTGGAATGGCAGGCACACACCACTATATTAAGTTTTGTTTTGTTTTGGCTTGGTTTTTTGAGACAGGGTTTCTCTGTAGCTTTAGAGCCTGTCCTGGAACTACCTCTTGTAGACCAGGCTGGCCTCTAACTCACTGAGATCTGCCTGCCTCTGCCTCCGGAGTGCTGGGATACTATGTTAAGTTATTGGGCACTGGAGATTAGCCCACAGCTTTCTGCGTGTTAGGACGTCACTCTACCAACTGAGCTACATCCTCAGCCCTGTAAAGCATAACTTTTATTTTCATTTCCGCATCAGAAAACCTAGTTGCTACAGTATGCACATGGTTAATTTGGTTTTGCTGTTTTAAGATAGTGTCCTTCTATGTAGCTCAGGCTGGCCTTGAACTCATAGTCCTTTGTCAACCTTAGCTCAGGTATTAAGGTTCCTGCCTTTTTCCTTGGCGGGCTTGATCTAGCTCCTTCTTTCCTTCTAGTCTATGTGTTTGTACTCCATGGAGGTAGACCTAAGGTCTGCTCTCCGCCCCAGGAAATAGTGACTACACCTTGCCTTTGGGCACAGGGAGACTCCACTGGATGCTCTGGGTGAGTTTCCTGGAACTAGCTCTTGTAGACCAGGCTGGCCTCGAACTCAGCGATCAGCCTGCCTCTGTCTGCCTCTGCCTCTGCTAGGATTAAAGGCGTGTGCCACCACTGCCCGGCAAGTCCTTCAGAATTTGCTAGAAGTTCTGGGAATAGTTTATGTACATGCACATACATCTATTCCATTTGACATGTATTTCCAAAGAGTTTAAAAACTTTTAGTATGTGTATAGTGTACGCATGTGTGTGTGTGCTTGGATGCTCCAGATCATTTCTGAATGCAGAGGCCAAAGGAGGAAGTCCTTGTCCTGCTCTGCCTCTTCTTGTTCTATGCTCTCCGCTAAACCTTGGGCTAGACTGGCAGGCAATAATCCCCATGGCCCACCTCTCCCACCCCCACTTCTTGTACGTGTGCTGAGGATTTGAACTCAGATCTTCCTGCTTACGGGCAAATATTCTTATCCAATTAATCACATCCCTAAGCCCCTAAGATTCCAGGAACTCTTCTCATTGTTGGTTGTTGTTTCGTTTCGTTTCGTTGTTTTTCAAGACAAGGTTTCTCTGTGTTCTGGCTGTTCTAGAACTCACTTTGCAGCCCAGGCTGGCCTTGAACTCACAGAGATCCGCCTGCTTCTGCCTCCCAAGTGCTGGGATAAAAGGCGTGCGCGCCACCACCGCCTAGCTCTGTTTTTGTTTTTGAGATAGAGTTTCACCATGTAGCCCAGGCAGGCCTGCAACTGTAGCCTAGGCAGGCCTGCAACTTTCTACATAGTCCGAATTTATCTTTAATTTACAGTCCTTGGCTCTGGTCACCTGGCTCCTAGGATTACAAGCAGGGGTTACTATGTCCAGACCCTAGTGCTGAGCTTTATATAAATTTGCTATGTGATCCCAGGCAACACACACAGCCACTCTGGGCCTCATCTGTTACATGTTTCCATCGTCTCTGCTTATGTCATAGTCTGACTGTGAGGGCTGCTCACCACAGGTGGCTGTGGCAGGGAGTAGGTTCTCCTGGTGTCTTAGGGTTTCTGTTGCTGTGGTAAGACACCAGCTTGGCAAAAAAAGGTTTATTTAGCTTACATTTTCACATCATAGTCCATCATTAAAAGAAATCGGGGCAGGACTCAAGGCACCTGGAGACAGGGAGCTGATGCAGAGGCCATGAAAGAGTGCTGTTCACTGCTTGCTCACCCTGCTTCTTTTCTACTACAACCCAGGACCACCTGCCTAGGGGTGGCACTGCCCACTGTGGTCTAGCCCCTCCCACTTCAATCA